GGCTGGGGATTCGAACCCGCCACCTTAGGTGTACGTGGCTGGCGCCTTAGCCGGTTGAGCTATAGGCGTCGAGCCAAAACTCTTTAGTTTTTTTAACAGAAAAAAAAATTGTTTATACTCAGATTAGGACCAACTCCTCTGGAGGAGGCTTTCCACTCTTGGAGGTGGAAAACATTGTCCAAAGGTATTCTGCCCAGCACCAAAACAGTGATCGGAGCCAAACCTCAACACTGGCTCTTCCAACGGTGCAGCATCAGCCCTGCAGCCCATCACGTGAGCCTGGAGGGCTGACAACTGCTGGGTAACATTTTTAAATCCAGAATCCTGAGCTGCACTTGCCTTTCACTCCAGTTTGTTCTTTATTTTTTTTACTACGCGGGAACTAAGCTGTTTGTGAATGGCCTCTTCTATGAATGATTTCATTATTCTTTCTATTCTGTGTGTTTCAATTCTTGGAACTCATCAATGTTCAGTTGTTTCACTGATTTCACTTAGCACTTCCTTAAAGTGAAATGACATGATTCAATATATGAGAATCAGTGTGGGTTAGAGTCAGAATGAAAATAACCTCCATTTGAACTGGCAGAATTTGAACAAGGGCCCTGTGGGATAAGAAGATACACCTTGGATAGCCACTTTCATTAAAACTCATCCCCATGGTTGGTGCCTGTGGCTCAGTAAGTAGGGCGCTGGCTCCATATACCCCGGGTGGTGGGTTCAAACCCGGCCCTGGCCAAACCACAACAAAAAAAATAGCCGGACGTTGTGGTAGGTGCCTGTAGTCCCAGCTACTTGGGAGGCTGAGTCAAGAGAATCACCTAAGCCCAGGAGTTGAAGGTTGCTGTGAGCTGTGTGACACTGCCATGGCGCTCTACAGAGGGCGATAAAGTGAGACTCTGTCTCTATAAAAAACCAAAAAAACCCCAACTCAGCCCCACATCCTCTACATTCAATGGCAAGCCAGGTTCTTCCTAAATATTATTAGTTCCTTGGACCAGTATGAAAAATTTATTTTTGATAGTATAATAGTTTTCTCCCAATCTTTCCTGGCTGATTTCTTAAATAGGAGAACCAGACTGATCATTATGCTCCCAGGAAGAGCTATTTATGTAATGCAACACAATTCTTTTCTATGCTAATTCTGCTCTAAAAATAGTCTATTTCAGAAGATGACTCCTTTTTTTCTAGCTTGACCGTATTCATAGACATGTTAAATGCCTTCTATTGGGTCTCAAAATAAATCTCACACTTTTAAATGGATAAAAACCCAATGGTTAATAAGTTCATCTTATTCTTTTTATTCCCGGCCTTCTCTTTCTGTTTTGACATGAAAATTGGTGAATTCAGAAAGAAAAGGCTACTAATATAGGGCACTGAATAGAAATGAACTGTACAGAAGTGGAATAGAGAATTATTAAAAAGGTCTGATTCCTGAAAGAGCCTGAAAGGAGAGAATGATAGCGCTAAGTTGGCCAAACGTTAACAGTTGGTGAATCTGAGCAAAGGGCATCTGAGGGGTCTTCACACAATTCTTATATCTTTTCTGTAAGTTTGAAATGATCTCAAAAGAAAGAGTTAAAACAAACAAACAAACAAAAAGACCTGATCCCTTTAAGCCAACTATTAGCAAAAAAGGCATCAACATCTAGGATCTGCTAGGGATACAAAGATGAATAACAAGTGGATGTTGTCCACACAGTGCTCAGAGTCTGGAAGAGGAAAGAGACAGGTAAATAAGTGTCTTCAGATAATAAAGTGGGGATCTTCTGTTTCAGCTTCCACTGTGACACTAGTGAATAGATATCAAAGTACCAACATTGAGTTGAAGCTAACAGTCTCTTCCCTTCTTATACAGTTTACAAAGGGGATGAAAAAAACCTGTCTTACAGTTTTTAGATTCCTCAGTCAGATCAAGGCTGTAGAGAGGAGAAAGGGCCCAACCCCTGGGAGAAAAGAGCTGGAATGATGTCTTCTTAATCCCATGCTTTCAGGACACTCCAACAGGGTGCCTCAGTGAGCTTAAAATATGTTTCCTCCCAGAGAACAAACAGAAAACAAAAACTATATGACAGACAAATTCTAACATAGTATTAACTTTTTTTTTTTTTTTTTTT